GCAGTATACCAATACATTTAAACAATTCTACTACTACTGTTTTGTGTGTGCACGATCCTAATATTCGAATGTAATTGGCAGGAAAAAGTTCCATTGAAATGGTTGGCGCTCGAATCTCTAAGCGAACCGAAATACAGTGTATATTCTGATGTTTGGTCGTTTGGCATCGTTCTATGGGAGCTATTTTCACTCGGAGCAGAACCATATTCTGAAGAAAAAATTGATACTTTTGACGAGCTAGAAATGCATTTAAAAGACGGACACCGATTGAGAAAACCACAATATGCCACACAATCTATGTAAGTTACGAATGGTTTTTATCGTTTGAGATATATAACAATGACTAAAAAATACATATTTTAGATACGATATTATGATGTCATGTTGGAACGCCGAACCCAAATCGCGTCCATTATTCGATAGTCTTGAGAAGAAAATTTCCGGTCTTATGGAACCTATTATGGCTGTTGTGCAGCATTTTACCGATTCAAATAAATCGTATATGGAATCAAATGCTAAAGAATGTAAACCTGGAGAAACTGATTATACAGTAATGCAACCAATTCAAGATAAAAATGCACAGTCTTTCTCATGCTGTCCTGTTCTCTTATCTTCTAAAAAACTAAACGAAAATGTCGAATGTGCTGTAGAAATACCATTGCAGTCGTTTTATTTTTCAAATTGAAAAAAATACAGAGTGTTCAAGTACATACCAAATATAATGAATAATTTGAAAAAATACCGATTTCTTATAATCGAAAAAAAAAAATTGCTTGAAATCTATGCGAATATTCATTCAATGATTCGTTATGAGGTGATCGAGTTGTATACCAATTATAAAGTGAAAAATCAGAGATCAGCATTCAAAACCTGTCATTCTTACACACTTTTCCTCTGTGTGTCTTGTATTTTATTCGCATCAAAAACAAAACATGGACAATATTACAGCATTAGCTCAACCAAAAGGCATCTTGGTAAAAACTTTAATACGATTTCGATATGGTTGCATCAACACATTCAATCTAAAAACCATTGGAAATGTTTTATAATGTTCAATCAAAAGAGAAATAAACTATAATAAAACTATTGTTTGATTGTAAAGCATTTTTGTATATTTTTAAAATATTTTTATTATCTAAAATAATGACCTAAAAAAATAAATAAAAGACTAGTATTAATTTTGAAAAAAAAAAAAAAACAGTCTAAAATGTTGACTAATTTTGTTGCACAAAATGTGTGCCTGTTCTACAGACCAGAAAAAATCCAATACAAATATCCTCACATAAAATTGACCAGAGAAGGAAAAACTTAAATCAAATCGAAATGCGACTGGTCGGGGGGAATGAACTACGTGCAGAGGAATGAGATTGTATTCAAAATGTGATGAAATTAGGGACTAAAGGAATCACAAAATGATGGGTTTCAAAAAATACTGAATTCAATTCTAAATTTGGCAAATCTAATATCTACTATCTTATACACATAAAATACATATCGTTGTTTGTAAAATGAAATCGTTGAAATTTGGCTCATTGGATTGGACTTGTCGTGAGAATAATTCCGTCTAATGTGATTGTGCGTTTTGTTTTCGCAACAGTTCCATTTGGTGCCTTGTTCTTATCGCCATGAACATTTTTGATATGTCTACGAAGTGCATTGTCATGTGCCAATTTCTTTTGGCAAATTGGGCAATGCCTGATCATCTCGCCGGTATGGATTTTTTTGTGAATGCCAAGTCGAAATTTGCTCACGGTTGCCACACCACAAATGTCACACTTAAATGCATAGTTCGTTTCGTGAACGCGTAAATGTAAATTCAGTCGATATTCCGAATCAAATGTTTCCACACAATCGGCATAGGTGCAAGCAATGGCACGAACTGCTGCATGTTTCTTTTCAACATGGTCGCGTAGTTCACGTGGTGTCACAAATCGATGGCCACACTTAGGGCAAATGTGATTTTTAATTCCCAAATGATATCTGAAATGTATACGTAAACTGTTTTTCGTTGCCAGTTCTTTGCCTGAAAGGAAAACACATTAGAGTGAAATATTCGAGAAACATTTGATCATCTTTACCACACATGTCACAAATGAATTTAATTTCTCGTGTGTGACTATTGAGATGAATGTTGTACGTTTGCTTGTGATTAAATCCCTTTAAACAAAATTTACATTGAAATCTAAACGTTTGATTGGCTGCAATGAAAAACGTGAAGAATCAGCGATAATTTGAACATGGAAAATCGATTAATAATTACATTTATCTTCATGACTACGAATGTGCTTTTTGTACTCGCTCGAATGTGAAAATGTTAATCCACATTGTTCACATAATTCGGTGAAATCCTCTTCTGGCTTCTCTTTTTTGTATTTTTTCTTGAAACTCTTTAAACTGGCTTTAATGTCTTTGCGAAGCAATTGATTAACATACATGTCGATGTCATTGTAATGATTGGGTCGTTTCGTTTTTCTTCGCGGACGTTGTTCAGCAGCTGCACTTTCTTTTTTGGGTTCCTTCGTCTGTAGTATTGGTGGTGGCGGTGGTAGCATTATTTTTGGTGGTAATTGCGGTGGCACTGATTGCTGTAGTACAGGCGCAGGTGATGGAGGCCTATTTAAATCTCGTTTGATTTCATCCAACATATTTGATTCGAGCTTAAGTATTTCTGCATCAAAAACAGGCAAAAATTTGTCATCAATTTGCTCTGGAAACATGATTTCATCCATGTCAAAATCAAACTCGCTGTGGATATCTTTCGGTTCATTGTCAAGTGGTTGGTTTTCTATGTGCTTATGAAATTGAGTTAATATATCGTCGGATTCGATGCATTGATTACGAAATAAATAAATAGTGCGAATTTTCTTAACACACTTTGAGCAGATTCGTTGTGGTTGTGGCTTCGTTTTGTTCAACTGAAAAGCAAACAGTCGTGAATTCAAAAAAAAAAAAAAAAAAAAAAAATTGAATTGAAAAATGTCAAATTATCTACCTCTCGATTTAAAATTTGTTCGATCATTTGCTGTGCCGAGCAGCTTTCTCTTTGGGTCCACGGTATAACCGAAGTAATGGATATGTATTCATCATCAGTTTTACATAAGCACGTACGACACAAATCATTTATAGCACAACTGTTCCTTTCATATGATGCCAAAAATGATAGTGACAATCTTTTGGCCATCACTTTTGGAATATTTACCACTAACTACATAAACAAAGGATTGACTGCAAACTGTGATACTCTGTGTGAGATGAAATCAAAGTTTATGTAAATAAATGCGGATTTCTCATTGTAAACATGTTGACAGATGACATATGCGGCTTTCTTTTCATTTGGTATAGTGGAAATCATCAGCATCAATTTTCCAAAGTAAATCGACAGATGGCACTGTATGTTCAAAAAAAGAAAAGGAAAATTCGTTTTGTATGTATGTTTTTTATAGACTTCGTTTTACTTTTAACTTTTTCAACATAATATGTGTGAATCCTCGTCAATTTATCGCTTAAATTCAGTCAGTGTGCTATAAAATATATTCCTTTTTACAAAAATTCAATGGAAGGATCTGAGAGCAAAAACACGATCATCAATTATTATCGATTATTATTTTTTGCCCGCAGGCTGTTTGTCCATAGTTTTTTTTTCCTTGCAACAATCGAGATTTTGTTTAAACGCCGAAAAAATTGACCAGCGGTCTTCCGTGTGTTTCATACAAGCCTCCCATATAAATGGTAAAAAATCGCGAAAAATGAAAAATATAATTAATTTTTTTTTCTGCAATTCTCAAATACTACTCAACTTTCTGTATCACCTTGTGAAATCAGAATGAAAAAAATCGCGTTCCTTATCATCCAAATCACGATCTGGATTTTTTTCACTGTTTGAGTGCTCTATACTGAGTCTCCGAGAGTTTCATATTACTGCTATTTTTACGCATGAAAAAATTAAATCTTGGTTTTACTATCAGGCTGTCATTTCTGTTAACAGTTCAATTTTCTATTCTCTATTAAAATTTAAAAACCCATTACATCAAATGAAGCAAGTCTTATATCAGTCGCTTTATAAAATTGTACATCATTTTTATAAAGAGCCGCCACCATATCAGCCAAGGTTCTTGCATCGTCAATAGCTGAATGTTTATTTCCAGTTTGTGGAACGTTTAAAAACCTCATTGCTTCCGCGAATGTGTATTGATCCAAAAACTGTCTCTGAAATAAAAAAAAAGGAATTAAATTTAATCCGATTTAAAAATTTAAAATTTATTAATATCGACTTACTTGAACTTTTTTTCTAACGTCAATCCATGCGCTGAAATGTTCATTCTGTTCGATATTATGGCGTGCACAGTCTAAACGGAACAAGAATCCCAAGTCCCAGCTGGTCCATGAACAAAACGTCGCATTACAACCATTTTGAGCGTATCTTTCATCGGGCGTTGCTAATTTTAATTGCTTTAAATTACATTGCATTTTGAGCCACGCGTCAAACCGCTGATAAACTGTGGGAAAGCAATCTTTTTCATCGATCAGCTGTTGTGAAATGTTGGTCAATCTTGTGCAAAATTCGGAGAGATTTGGATTTTCGATTGGTCGCACATAGTCGTGAAATTCGGACATGATTTGACCATTTTTTAGATTCAGAAGAACCGCTCCAAATTCTTTTAAATAAAAATTAATTGAAAAAAAAAAGATCAGAGATAAAATAATGGATTTTCAGTAAAAATATTGCGTTACCAATTATTTCAGAACGTCCCGGTGTGCGTGTCTCCCAGCGTGTTTCTTCAAAATCCAAACAAATCAAGTAATCGAATTGATTTCTAATTTCCTTGTCACTTTGAGCAGTTAAAAGTGTCGGTTCAGAATTCGATTTTTGTTGAAATAGAACAATACAATCGCCAACATTATTGTGTGCTTTGCGTACTTGGAAAAGGATCGTGTTGTTCTGAAAGAGCGTGAATACCATCTGCGCTAAGGTTTTAGCATCGACGATAGCCGAATGGGCACGGCCAACCGGAGAAATATTCAACTTTATTAATGCCATTTCGAATGTATAATGACCCTTGTGCCTCATCTATAAAAGAATTGCGAATGCGTACAAAGTTAAAATCATCGCAAGAATTCATTTTATACCGTTTTACTTACTCGAAAATATCTTTTCGCATCAATCCATACGTTAAAGTAATCTTGGTGTGTGATATTATGGCGTTCACATTCTAGACGGAAGTAGTGGCCTAAATCATAATTAGTCCACGAGCAAAATGTTGTATTCCAATCGAGTTGTACGCCACTTTTATTGGGTCTTGTGTAATTTAACTGGTTCAGTTCACGTATCGATTCTAACCAACTCTCAAATTTTCGAAAAATGACAGGAAAATGCTCTTTGTCATCGATCATTTCTTGTGTGATTCCCGTTAAATCCATACAATAATCGCTGAGTATTGGTATATTGGTTGGTTGCACGTATTCATGAAATTCTGACAAGATCTCCTTATTTTTAAGATTTATTAGCACTGCACCAAATTCTTGAAAATGAACAAACATTAGGGAAATGCACTTCAGACTTACAACATCATTGAATTGTTTTGAGGTTTACCGATTATTTCAGCCCTGTACAAATCACGTGGAGTCCAACACGTTGCTTCGAAATCCAAACAAATGAGATATTCCAATTGGTTGAATTTATTCTGTATTTCTGGATTCAGACCACTTGGCACAGTCAACATCTTCGAATTAACAGTTGTGATATTTCGGTGCTGATTTGAAGAACCATCGAACTTGTGAACATATTTTTGGCCACTAAATCTTTTGATGTATCCATTGACTGTAAAACTAAAGTTTCGGGATATGTAAACTGGTTTGGAAGTACTGAAGACAATTTTCAATCGACAAAAACTCCTTGGAAATAATGACATTTTTTAAGTGAATAATTATGAAATTCAAATTGAACTCTAGCGTCTGTTTACTACTTGAATTGAGGTTATTATACGAAATTGTCTAATATTTACAATTTCCATCACATCGATATATGTCAAATATTCGCTAATCAGAATAAATGAAATTCAATGAAAATTTCACTCAAATCCACTAGAGGGCGACATCACATACAATATTAGACGATTTGACAATTTGACATGAGGCGTGATTATTCCACATAGTTGTTTGCTGACAGCTGTCAAACAGAAAAAAAATTATATAGTTCAACAAACTTGTGTAACAACGCAAATCTGTAAATTCTTGTTAAACGTTTAAATTTTGTGGAAAGTCAGAAACTTTTATTCACAATGCCGCGAATTATGATAAAAGGTGGTGTTTGGCGAAACACTGAAGTAAGTAAAATAATATCAACAACAAATTTTCATAGTTTCAAACATTGAATTCATAAAAAAAGAAAAAAATACTAACCTCAAAAATGTGTGTTAAAAACAGGATGAAATTCTCAAAGCAGCTGTAATGAAATATGGGAAAAATCAATGGTCCCGAATCGCATCGTTGCTGCACAGAAAATCGGCCAAACAATGTAAAGCACGTTGGTATGAATGGTTGGATCCGAGCATCAAAAAGACTGAATGGTCAAGAGAAGAGGATGAGCGTTTACTTCACTTGGCAAAACTAATGCCGACACAATGGCGTACAATTGCACCAATTATTGGTCGTACAGCAGCCCAATGTTTGGATCGTTATGAATATTTACTGTAAGTTTTAACTGTTCACATAAAAAAGAAACACTTTTCAATAAAAATCTAAATAAAACAAAAATCATATTTTTCAGGGACCAAGCTCAGCGAAAAGAGGAAGGTGACGATATTATTGATGATCCACGGAAGTTGAAGCCAGGTGAAATTGACCCACAACCAGAGGTATAAATTTTAATTTGATAAATTAATGTTATAAATTAACTAAAAAAAATTTAGTTTAAAAAACTAATACTTTTATCAGTCAATAAAATTAATTATTTAATCAATTATTTAAAAAAAGACAAAGCCGGCAAGACCGGATCCAAAGGATATGGACGAAGATGAGCTCGAAATGTTGTCGGAAGCCCGTGCCCGTTTGGCAAATACGCAGGGCAAAAAGGCCAAAAGAAAGGCTCGAGAAAAACAATTGGAAGAAGCCAGACGTTTAGCATCGTTACAAAAACGAAGAGAATTACGAGCTGTAAGTTAATCGACAAAACAATTTCATTTACTCAAAAATTGAACGAATTTTATTTTTTCAATAGGCTGGCATCGGAGGTGGCAATCGTCGCAGAATTAAAGGAATTGACTACAATTCTGAAATTCCATTTGAAAAAACACCAGCGGCCGGATTTTACGATACATCTGAAGAGCATGTTCAAAAAGTTGAATTTGATTTCAATAAAATGCGTCAACAAGATTTGGACGGCGAATTACGTACGGAAAAAGAAGAGGTAAGCATTTTTGTTACATAGATTGTTCTCATCTGTTTCAAAAACGATTCAAATTTTTTCAGCGTGAACGAAAGAAAGATAAAGAGAAGCTAAAGCGAAAAAAGGAAAACGGTGTACCAGACGCTTTGCTTCAGATTGCCGAACCGTCAAAAAAACGTTCAAAACTTGTTTTACCCGAACCGCAAATATCTGATCAAGACATGCAACAAGTTATAAAGTTGGGCAAAGCAAGTGAAATTGCACGAGAAGTGGCTCTAGAAAGTGGCATTGAAACAACTGACGCTCTATTGGGTGACTATAGCATTACACCACAGGTATCGGCCACACCTCGAACACCGGCAATCACAACCGATCGTGTGATGCAAGAAGCACAAACCATTATGGCACTAACACATGTTGAGACTCCATTGAAAGGTGGAATAAATACTCCATTGCATAATACTGATTTTTCTTCAGTTGTTCCAAGTTCACAAGTGGTTGCCACACCAAATACGGTATTAACAACACCATTCCGTTCGGGCGACGCAGCAGCCACACCAGGAACACAATTGGTGGGAAATAAGAATATACACACTCCGTCTTTGGCACGTGACAAATTGAATATTAATACAGAAGATGGCGTGTGTGAAACACCAATTCAAATGAAAGAATATCAGAAACATATAAAAGAATCACTTCGTGAGAAATTGTCCACTTTGCCACAGCCACGAAATGATTATGAAATTGTTGTGCCAGAGGATGCACAAGTAGAAGATGGTGATACCACACAGACTCAACAAATTGAAGATCAATCTGATGTTGATTTGAGATCAATCGAAGAAGATCGCTTGCTTAAGGCTGCTGAATTAGTTCGTCGTTCACAAGTCATACAAAAAGATCTTCCACGACCGTTTGAAATCAATACGACAATTTTACGACCATCGACCGATATGACGGGACTAACCGAGCTACAACGTGCTGAGGAGTTGATAAAACAAGAAATGATAACAATGCTACATTATGATGCCGTTTTGAATCCAGTACCATTGAAGTCGAATCCCGTAAATAAAAAAGCAACATCTCTACAACAATTGCAAAGCTATTTGGAACAAAGTCCATATGATCAGTTCGAAGACGAAGAATTGCAAGAGGCTAAGGAACAATTGAAGGCTGAAATGTCAGTGGTCAAACAAGGAATGGCACATGGTGATTTGTCTCTTGAAAATTATTCACAAGTTTGGCAAGAATGTTTGAGCCAAGTGCTATACTTACCCAGCCAAAATCGATACACTCGCGCCAATTTGGCCAGTAAAAAGGACCGATTTGAAGCGTCAGAGCGTAGACTCGAGCAGAATCGCAAACATATGGCAAAAGAGGCAAAACGTTGCGGAAAAATTGAGAAGAAAATGAAAATCCTGACTGGCGGCTATCAAGTAAGTTTCAAATTAATTTTTTTCATCACTTTGTGAAATAAAATAATCGATTTTTTTCTTTTCATAATAAGGCACGTGCTCAAGCAATTATGAAGCAACTAAATGAAGCATGGGAGCAAATAGATCAACATTCATTGGCACTTTCAACATTCAAGTTTTTGGCAGACCAAGAAGATCTGGCCATTCCACGCCGAATGGAGGTATATTTGATATAAACTATTTCACTATTATATGGAATATGAACTATTTTATTGTTATCCCAACTTTAGACTCTGACCGAAGATGTCGAACGGCAAATGGAACGAGAGAAACAGTTACAAGCCAAATATGCAGAGCTGGAATCGGAACTTCGAAGTCTAAGCAACCATTTGAATTAATCATTATAATCCAAATTAATTATATATATTGCCATTTATATTAATAAAATACAACTAGCGCTCCTTTGGAGTCGCAAATTATGTGAAAATGGTACATTTTGCATTGTGATTTGAAATAAACATAATATAATTTCTCTATAGACGAAATTACTTGGTAAAAAATATAGGTTTTCCAGAATTTTATTCATATTACTTCGGTTATAGACGTTCACCGATAGATGTGACATAACTACATAGTCTGAACTGTCAAATTCGAACGTACAGTGTTGAGAGCAACTACAGAGATATACGAAAAGCCAACAGATCTTTCAAAATATTGCGATCTTTCAGAATATTGAGAAAAAAAATATATATTGTTATGTTTTATGCGGAATACATTCAAACTTTGAATCATTTTTCTTAAATACACACAGTTTTGCGTGTAAAAAGATTGAACACATATTCAAATAGGACGAAAAGCTAGTGGCACCATTCAATTAAGCAGTGTTGTATGTATTGCTTATGCACGTTAACAACGCGCAAGGCTGGTGAGCTAACGTATTACATAGAAAAGTGTTAGCTAAAAATGTCGAGATGGTGTGAGTGTGTATGAACAAATAAAAATCAAATGCACATCAGCGCCAGAGACGACAGAACGTTATTAGTAATTGTCCGTGAAACAACGAAACACGAGATATACTTCATTTTTGAATTATTGTGAGCAAACAAAATTATATTCGACGAAAATAAAAATTAATCGAAATTGGACAACATAAAAAGTGAACTATTAATAAACAATTTTCTAAAATATCGTAAGTTTGCAATTCAGTTTCATATTCGATTTTTTGTATTGAATTTTTTTGATAGAAAAATACATTTTTCATTTTATTTGGGAAAAACAGGATAAAATAGTATATTTTCTAATAATTATTTGTGGAATTAAGAATAATCATTGTTAATATTTTGCATCGCCATATTTGATGTGATTTTTGTGCGCAAAAATAATAATCAACGAACAGTTATTGTCATTTCACAACATGCACAAAAATCAATCACGTATTCATTGCCATAAAGATACATTCAAATTTCAAAGATATTCGATATTTTATGAGAATAATAAGAGCACCAAAGTTATACTGACGATATAACTGTATAAACAAGTCTAAGATGGAAAAAATAGATTCAAACAGTTTTTTTCGTCAATTAAAAATATACACTTTCTTATCTTTTACAGTTTGAATTTGTAAATCATTTCAATTTGTGCCTCGATGGAACATCATTTGATGAAAGAGACAGTTGTATAGACACAATCACAGCAATTACTGCTAGAAAAGTGTAAGTAAAACAAAACGGTAGTTTATGCTCCGCGAAACGAAAAATTCCTGCTTTAATCGAAAATTCAACATTGTTTTGTGGAATTTAGAAATAATGGACACGAACTTATCACGAATGGATGTGGATCAGGAATCCAATCCCAATGAAATTGACATCGACCCGGAACCACATCAAGTACAAGAATTTAATACCAAGATGTACAAACCGACAAAATCCACGCACACCGCAATGTGTCAGCACGTCGTATGGCCAAGATTTTTGGCACAACGCAAGCAGAGTGATCTCAGTGAGCATGAAACAGCGCTAATCGAGCTCATGATAGACGTAGTTGATGACTTTGTGGAACATGACTTTTTACCGCGGAAAATAAGCAAATTGTTGAAATGTTTACACAATGTTAAAACATCGATGACACCTGAAGTTATTTCGCGTGAGCTGAGCCAATTGCAGTCTGGCGAAATGAAATCAATATACATCGAAAGCCAGAATTGTTGTCTTTTGGTTTACATGCTGCCACCGCCAGTCGAATCGCCAGCCGATGGTGCAAAACAGTTGATCGTTTCAACATTCCCAGTGAGCTTAAGTGCTGAAAAAATTGCCGACTTTCCAAGCAGCGATATTAAGGTAAATTTTTCTTAAACATATTTTTTGATCAAAACGTTTATAAACATAAAAATTTGAAAATTTTAGATGGACTTCCCAGCTCAAAGTATCAAAGTAGAACATTCCCAACTATTTCAGTCAATCGAGTTTGCTCAACAGCTGGTTTGCGTGAGCGAAAACAATGATACCAAGTTAAATTCCAAGGAAGTAATCGTTCAAAATTACGTGTCACAGTGGTTGATACCAATACTTGGAAATCGTCACAGTTCGGTGGCTACAGATGCTGAGTTTGGTGTTATCACGAAAAAGATTCGTGACGATGTGCTGGGCAGTAAATCGGCCATAAATCTTCCATTTCGACGTTCATCATACTGGGCCGCTACAAAAGTATCGTTACAACTTAGTTTGACGATTGAATATGGCAAAGAATGCGGGAAATTCTTGTACAAACTGATTATGCTCAAATATTTGACAGTGATGTGCAGCTTTTACACTACTGAGATGTACCCATTTTATACTGATGATATAGATAATGTTTCGCAATTGCTGGCAAAAATGGCACGTCGCATTGAAAAGTTACAACATTTATATGAAACGAGTGACAATCGTCAATTTGCTGACTGTTACGATCGCATCGTCAAAGACACAAAAATGATGATCAAAAATGCGCGCAAACAAATTAACGACGAAATCGAACGGTTACAAAGTAAAGTGAAGAAAAACAGTACGTTGACACCATTGGAAGATCTTCATTTGGAAGCCGATGCCAAACAAACTGTACCAACTTTACGAGCATATTTGGCTGCGCGGCAAACACGAGATACAATAAATCAAAAACGAGATTTTTTGACCCAAGAGAATTGGATACGATACGATTTCAATTCAACGACACCACCGAATACCAATCTTTTTGATCAACTTGAAGGACAAATTGCGACTGGATTGTTTTTATGTGATTTTGAAAATTGGCTGCTGTACAAATTAGACGGCGATGTTGCTGAAAGACAAATTACACCGGAAAATCTGCGATCGTTTTCAACAAAATACGAGGAAAAAGCCGTTGCTTACTACAAAGATGATCCAATTGGTTACAGTCGAATGTTGCTGACGCAATTGACAATGGTCATGATTTTGGATAAAATGGCAGTAAAGGCACATTCACTTTACAACAAATACGAAATTGGTGTGAATGAAGACATCTTCGATCGTTTACTGTTGCCACATCAACGTGACATGGATATTGCGTGCAAACTTCAAGAGTATTTTCGAACACGTAATCATAATAAATTAGTGGGCATTTTGGAAGAAAAACCAACGTCTCATTCGTTTGGGTGTAAATTTGCCAAGACAAACATTGAAATGAGGAAAATTCTTCTGGAGATTAAGCAAAAAGATGACAAAGAAATTCAAGAACTTCGCTCCGAATATGAGGAAGCAAAACAAAAGATGCAAAAATTACAACGGCGTGCCAATGAATTAGACTGCAAATGTCTAAACGAAAATCGCAAAAGAAAGCACACACAAAATTGCCCAAAATGTTTGCTCACTTCCAAAATTAGTGGTATTCGTGTTCGACGATATGAACGTATACTACCCGATGAAAAATATCAACAACTGTCACTTGTTTTCGAGCTGGCTATGCCCTCGGTGTTTGTGTGTCTGCGTGACGTGTTATACACTGTAGTCGACCAAATACAAAAGAAACCCATGAGAAATATTACAATTGTTGCCAACTGGTTTGAAAGCGAACCATTCAACCAATATGCAACAGCAAAATGCGAACGCGTCTTCCTGGGAACTACTTCGTGTCACAATTTATCCAGACGTGGTTACAGTAAAGAAGATTCACCGGATAAATTATTTGAAAGTTTCCACATATCAAATGGGTACAGTCTAACATATTATGCTGCGAAGAAGAAAAGTGAGAGGGAGACAATTAAAAAGCGTTTACCATCTGATATTAAAAATCAAACGATCGATGAAATGTGCCGATTCAATGTCGAGGAATCGTCTTTGCAGTGGATGTTAATTGGAAATCATACACAAAACGAAGTAATTGCCAGACAATCCGAATGTCCTCAGCACCTAACACTTGGCGAATACAATAATTTTGGTTCACTTCGTGCCGATGGCCATCGGTTGCAGATGCGGAAATTGTATGCATTGATTGCAACGGAATCGTTATCGTTTGAAACGCAATCGGTGCAAGCATTGATCATGCAAACATTATGGCAATTGGGACCAAATCGAAAGAGACACTGGAGCAAATGGTATCGTTAAGGGGCAAATCATTTAAAAATTACTTATTAATTATTATTGATTGTTTTACGATTATTTTTCGATTAGTTTCGATTACTTATCGATTATTTTAAATTTTATTCTTTTCTTTTGTGATTCTCCCCTTAGGTATCGTGACGCCCATGAGGACTTTACCAATCCACGTTTTGTATTGGAAATGTGCAAATTAATTGATAATTACATTGAGTGTCAAAAATCGAATTGGAAGCACCCACGAAAGCTGATGACGACGGCTGTGATAGCTGTTCGAATGTTTGAAATGAACTATGACAATGGTGATGAGAACGAACAAGTTGCTGATCGAATTGCAAAGTTTTTGCAAAAATTACGCGACATTTCTATGTAAGCTTTTTTCATTACATATTTCCACATGTAAATGACTCAAGAAATGATATTCTTTTTAATTGCATTTTTGCACAGTTCTTGGATTTCAAAAGTACAAGAGGCAATAGTGGGTCAAAATCAGCAGCAAGTGGTAAAATTGCGTACAAATTTGGTTGAAATCGCAATAGCCGGCGCTTTAACATTTTTCGTGCATAACCGCCATCCAAATTTTGAAAAGATTTTTATAAACAGTGAAACAACTACCAAAACAGCATCGCAGTTATGGTTGACATTTTTGAAAACATTAAATTCAAATGTTCTGCTCGACGAATCAAACAAAATGGATTCAAATCTATGCATTTTCTTACGTCTGATACGTACGATTGGGATCAATTTGGAGAAGAAAGTTGGTGATTTGATCAGAAATGACTTGGAACTGGAGCTGTATCCGTTTATCAAAGAGCACTGGATCAGATCGCAGGAAGCATCGCAATTTCAACTGTTAAGTAGCAATAACCAGTGCTTTGCAGTACAGATTATAATTTGTGACAAAGTCAATCATGTTCAAGTCGATATGGTTACTGGGGATTTTTTGGTCAACAATTTCCCCGTTGCTCGCCTTCCATCGAAAATCACCGAAAATCAATTATTCAAACGTGTTTTCAATCAATTCATTTTCGAAGTGCAACAGGAAAATTCTGAGGAGTTTTCTTCAAAAATTCATGCAAATCAGAATTGTCATTATAATTTTCAAATTGTACGCAAAGAACTAATCATCACAGAATTGCACGAAGATGGAAATCGATTCGAACTGATACCTATACAAATATTAAAAAATGAAATTTCACACTTGCTGATCAAAAATCATAGTCATTGGTGGGACATTGAGAAGAAGTGTATATATTTTCGACCACCGCAATTTTCAGATGCGAATTTCTCCACCGTCGATGGTGTACAATACTGTCTCGATTTAAAAGATGGATCTTTGAAGCATATCAAAACTCAACAAAGAATGTTGGACATATCCAGTCAAAGCTATTGTGCGATTGCAAAACGACTATTTCGGTTGGAATCAAAAAAATTCATTCATATTTCCATCAATGAAACGAACATTGCCATGGTTAAATTAATGCGAATGAACTTGAAATTTGTTGTCAAGCCATGTAAAGGATCTGACAATCGGTATGAGATTTTATCAAATGAATTCAGTAACATGTGTGTTAGCCAAACGCAAAATTGTGGAACATTGTATGGTTTACACAGTGGACTACTGTTGGAGAGCACAGATTCGCCGAATCAATCGAAAATGTTGATTATGCCACACGGTTCTGTTTTGGCCGAAATATCAAAGCGTCATGAAATCGTCAGAATCGACACCAAATCTGAGCTACGCTCGCCACCCTTTCACACGTACTTGGTGGATGAACAATATCAACAATTGAAAGCGAAAAATACCAGCTTTGCTGCCTGGTTCTATTTGGCATATTTACATGCACTGACATCACACGGTCAAGTGGAACCACTTTTGGGAATGTCAGGCACTCAACGTGCACTCCAAATCCTGCAATCGGCCTTTGTTTGGTCGTCAGCACCCTACGACGTTGAATCATTGAAAACTTTGAAAGACATTGAAGCGTTGTCACCTATTCGTGTGAAAAATGTCAATCAAGTCGTTCGCTGGCCAAATATCATACATCCACACGCAGCTCAAGATTCATATGCGTTAATTACACGCAAATTGATTGATGACAGCAATCGACTGAAGGATTTGCACGAAACACCGAAAAAAGATGCCGTTGACAAAGAAAAGGAGAAACCGAAACCGTCCAAAGAAAACGAAATACCAAAGGATGAATTGAAAGAAAATCAACGTGACTATTTCCGCATATTACCATTGTACACAAATTTTCGGATCTCGAAAACGTTCATTGACTATAATACTTATGAGCAAACGTTGGCTCCGCGATTTCTATACGAGGAACGTGTTCCAAATGCTTTATTACGCAAAATTGCTGTTCATTATCATGAGAAAACATTCAAAGCCCCAAATTCGTTGAACCTTTCTGAATTTTTGATGAATAACCGTAAAAATTTGCAGGGAATTCGATGTGATCTGGAATTGTGCGATATTCGCAGTGAATTTGGTAAAGGTGACTTGGCAAATTGGTGGATTTCATTGTATGAAATTGCGCGTGAAGGACAATGCAGCCGTGAAACATACGCGCTTATATTGAGTTTTTTGAGTCTAAAAAATGGATCTTCTTCTGATGCACCGATATTTGCATTGCAAACAGTTGCCAATTATCCTGTGGCTTTTCAACACATTGAGGCACCCAAAAATGTAAGAATGTACGATTTAAAAAGTTCCGATTTTGATCGTGCTGAAATTGCTCGGATTATTGAACGTCATCATAATGATCCAGAAATGTTGGAAAGCGAAAATCATGAGTATATAAATGAATTTATGGAATATGCATATAAAATTGCTAAGCTAGTTGAGAAACAATGGCTGCAAACACATTGTAATCGTGTCAATACATCGATTTATAATCATGTTCATGCCGACGTTGATGATATGGACGAGGTTGTAAAAGCGATAAATGTAAAATTACGAAATTGGAATAATATGGAACGATTGCATAAATTCATTGAAAATGTTCAAAATGAAGTGACGCGATTGGCTACAACGACACCAGAAATTGCACTGATTGAATGGCAACCACAACAAATTGACCATGAACTGGAGCAAATGAATCGATATCAAATTGATTACGAGCAAATAATGTGCGAAAATGTCGAAAAATTCAAAGATGATGTAAATTTGGCTGAAGAAATTTTTTGTCGTGAAGAGACAGATCCAATGCCACCATTGAATCGAACAACCGCCGAATGGTGGAATGTTTTTAGAAATATCGTTACATCAACAAGAGCCGAACACTTAATTAATGCCAGTTTGTATCCACATTTCGTTCCATCGTTGGTTTTGTCAACGTTGGTATCGGTCAACAAATTATCACAAAATTCAGACTTGAGAAGTGTTATTGGAGCATTGGCCGTTACAATGGCACACGAACAACGCGAAAAACGCATCCAAATGTATGAAAAACAACCGCAAATGAAAGCCGCACTGGATCGTGAACTGGAGAATGAACCACAAACAAATTGGTCAGCGATTAAATACCCAGAGTGGTTGCTCTTCGAAATTGAACAGAACTTGACAATTCGTCCGATTCAAATTAAAATTGCCCAGCAAATGATCAACGCTAAAAAACCGGCAGCTGACATCATGCATTCAGTGATGCAACTGAATATGGGAGAAGGCAAAACTTCAGTTATTGTCCCAATTGTTGCATCGCGTTTGTCAAAGAATAAACATGCATGTCAAGTAACAGTGTTGAAATCTTTGTTTGCAACCAATCTAAAATCGTTGCGTCAATGTCTCGGCGGCTTACTCAATCACCGCGTTTACCTATTTCCATGTCAACGATCGCTCCCCGTCAACGATCACGTAAAACAAATGTTGAAAATCTACAAAGAATGCCTAACGGAAAAAGGTACACCTGACCCCTTTTCTCATTACAAAATGATTGTAAACCAAAAACCATTGTTTTCGTTTTATTTTTCAGGTGTAATTCTAACTCTGCCAGAGTATCGACTGTCTTTTCAATTGAAAACATACGAATCCACATGCAAAGGTGATCTCGAAAATGCTCAACACTTTTTGGAAGCACACAAATGGCTTAACGCAAATATTCGGAACATTCTCGATGAGTCTGATGCAATATTACAACCGAAGTATCAACTCATTTATACGGTGGGCAATCAGTTGTCATTGGATGGGGGAAATTTGAGATGGATCATTGTTGAAGCACTTCTCAAACGAGTTCGAATACACATTCCATATTTATATAAAAAATACGGCGATAAAAAGATTGAATTTGATCCGAATTACGTAGTAGGACGTTATGAAGTGTTTTCGCCAGTGCGCATATTCAATGAACAAGTCTACGAACATTTGGTATGTTGTAAGCATGAAATGAAAGAGAAAAATAGCTTGGAAATTTAAGTTTTTGTTTTTCCTCTTTTCCCACAGAAATCTAAAATTATCGACGATTTTATCAATGAAAAATTGAACATACCATTCACGGGAATCAATGAACGAGATAAGAAACTACTGAATATTTTGATGTATGGTGAAAACATGTCGGTTGATGAATTCAATGAGAATATTAAAGATTTTTCGGAATGCGACCAAAATACCATAATGGTTTTGAGTGGTTTGTTACGCTTCGACGTGTTAAAATTGGTGCTAAACAAACGCTGGCGTGTCAACTATGGTGTGAATCCAAAAAGTACACGCAAAATGGCCGTACCATTCAAAGCAAAAGATGTTGCAGCTGAACAAACAGAATTCGGCCATGCAGACGTCGCGATTTGTTTAACCCATTTGAGTTATTACTATTCGGGTGAGTTACTAGGAACAATATTCATTTAACATTGAACTGGGAAATTTGACTTTGTCTCCCCAAATTTTAGGTCTCACCAATGAACAAATGTTTGAAGTTTTCCAAATCTTGGATAATCAACAGGATGCGAAAGACATCTACAACAGTTGGATCGAAAGCGTTGATAAGCGGTTGAGACATGCATCAATTGGATGCTACTCTGCCATTAATTTGAGCGACCCCCACCAGCGCGACAAACAACTTTTCCCACTCTTCCGTTTCAACATGTATGTTATCGATTTTTGGCTATGCAATATGGTATTTCCGCGTGAGGCAAAAACATTCGAAAAGAAATTGATGTGTTCGGCCTGGGATCTGGTTAATGAATGCTTAAAGCATCCGGTTTCAGGTACAATGACATTTTTGCCACTCAGGTAGAACCAAAATTAACTTATATTTTTAATTTTTCAATTTTCTCAAGGCTTTTCTGGTACAAATGATACACAGCGCATTTTGCCATTGCCAATAATACAAAATGATCTCCCCGAACTCATCACAACGAATGACAATGTTCGCGATGTGTTACTTCAACAAAAATACAAAGCGCTACCAGCAAATATCAGCGGCAAAAGAATTTTAAGAGAACTGAAGACGCAAAATATACCGGTTTTATTAGATGCTGGTGCACTGATGTTAGAATTGAACAATCAAGAAGTAGCCACAGAATGGCTAAAAATGGTTGCGGAAGACGAATACGATGTGGCTGTTTATTTTGATACAAACGATGTAATGCAAACGATAGACCGGAACGGGATAATAACCGAATTCGACAATTCAGTATTTCGAGATCGAGAATTGAATAGATGCATTGTTTACTTGGATGATGTTCACACTCGTGGAACGGACTTGAAGTTCCCGATAGTTTGGCGAGCTTGTGTGACTTTGTCTGGTGATATTACACGTGACAAAACGGTGCAAGCATGCATGCGGATGCGTCTATTGGGGCGAGGACACACGATTTCCTTTTGGGCTTCACACGAAGCCGATGTTCGACTTAAAGAGATTTGTGCAACTGGTCGATGTCATCCAACAATCTCCAATGTCATACAGTTTCTTTGGCACAACAGTCAAAAATTTGAAGAAGACAACATTACGAATTGGACATTATCAGCTTATAATTACGCAAAAAAGACAGCAGCTCACAAACACTACGAAAGTGTAGTGGCAGAAGATGACGATGATCCACGATTGATTCGCCTTTATGAACAATGTGTTGATAATGAGTATGTAACGTATTGGCTGTTTTCTTTTTCCGTAAAATGTCATTGCTAAAGTATTTGTTTGTTCTATGATTTCCTCATAGGTATGTTACATTGAACGAAATGTATGGCGGTAAAGAAATGGTATTACTGAGTGAAATAGTGGCCGCAAAATTTGCAAAATTAAAGCAAAACTTGGAGAAAAATTATCAAGACAGCCAATTTGTTGCACAAATTGGCAGCAAAGTTCAACAGAAACTGTCCCAGCAAGCGGCCCATTTGAAGCGTTTCACCCATTGCTTTGACGAAGAACAAGAAATTGAAAAGGAGATCGAACATGAATTGGACCAGCATCGGCAAATTCAACGACCACCACCAGCCAAAGCGAGCAAACCACGAATTGTTCATGAAAACCTCAAAAAACTCATCAAAAATGGCTCAAAATCATGTTTTGATGATCTAATAGAGAAAAAGTTAATCATGCATTTGCCAAAGGTTTTGAGTGATAAACATTTCTATGCTGCTTATGAACCAGTCGATAATCAAGCGTGGCTAGAAAATGTGTATGCTACCAACGACTACAAAAAAATCATTCGAAAGCCAAAAGAAGGTGGCGATGAATTTTTACGGCCTGTGCTGTGGATTGCAAAAATAAAACGATCCGCTCAAAAGGATATTATTTTGCTACTGTCGTCGTTTGAAGTTGAACATTTGCTTAGTGCATTCAAAGGCAGCAACAAAGCTTGTCTGTTCATGTATCAACCGAAGATGAGCCAATTTCAACGCACATTGATCAATGAAGATCATTTAATTGTTACCGACATGGCTGAAAAGCAAACGATTTCGATTGAGGAAATGGCACAAATTGCATTTTTTTCCGGTGCTATCTATTTCAATTCAGAAGAAGAGCAAAATGCTTATTGTAACTTTATGGGATTGATTCCAAAGCCATTGAATATTTCGCAACAGATTGCATTCGACATGGACCAAATTACACCGAGCGGATTTGTTGAACCAAAACATCGGAAAGTGCCTGCCATATGTGATGCAGTTGAAAATTGCCGTTTCACCAAAAATCCCATTCAATTGGCAATCGGAATTATACAGGCTCGTCATCAATTCATGAGCAAAGAGTCTCATGTCGCTTCCATTTTGGAAAGAGCATTGAAAACGGAAATAAACGAGAAAAATAGCAACTAATATTTTAAGAATTTGATTTTATTTCTTTAACCCATTTTTTTCGAGACGAATCAAACATTATACAGAGTATAATGAGAGTAATATACGTAATTCAAGTCAAGTTTTATGTCTTTTGACAATTATTATTATTATTATTAGAAAATCAATTAATCGTTTGAAAAAAAAAAAACCAACAAGAAAAATATTGTCAAAAGAATTTTGTAAGTTCTTCGGTTAACTTAAATAAATACGAAAGATATAATTTTAATCAATATGTTTAATCAATATGTTTATCAAATGATAAGGAAAAAGTACACGTAGAAGTACAATGTTTGTCAAATTAATCAAATTAATTATACTGATCGGTTGTAATATTGCATTGAATTCCATTTTGAATGAGGTAC